TAGCTGTATGTACACATCGACAAAGCATCAATGGTTCACGAACAAATTTCTTATACCTAAAATAGGCTTAACATAATTCGTGTTTATTAATTTGTAATAAAGATAAATTCGAGTAAGGTATCTTCAATTCTTGTATTTATAAAAGAGCCGTTAATTATTTTTTGGAACCCCCACACGACAACATCTATAACCTAAGAAACTTCACAACGTAATATTCTAACTAATAAGAACACCTTTGTTTGTCAAGTTGACTAATTGATGTTAATTTAAATATTTCAATGTAATTGTTCTTTGCGTCCCATGGGTAGCTTTGAATTAGAAATTGCAATAATGTAGTATTGTTTCAAATTCAATACCAAGCAAACCATGGGAAGCAAACAAATATTATATAAAGTATTTAAATATTTTTTTATATTACCAATGTGTAATAAAGTTACAACTACCTATGTTGTAGAATCCGACCGAGAAATGACCCTGACTGATGACTATGTCAAGTGTCACCCTGACTCGACAGGTTAGCCCGATCAATACCAAATATATTTAATAATACGTAATATATAAGAATAAAGTTATAAATGGAAAATGTCATTCCTTTCTAAAAACTATATTGTGTTTCGCAAAAAAAATTATATTGTGCATAATAATAAATATGTACGAATATGAAATAAAATTAGTTAACTTACTGTGTCAAGAAAAGTTACGTTATACAAACTATATTAGGATTGAACTAATGTTTAATTTCTCTCATATTATTGGTCATTCGTGCATCGCATGGGCTTGGAATAATATAGTATTGCTATATACATCGAATCGAATATGAAATATCTAAAATATTTCAAAATATGTGTATATTCATGGAATAGAATATAAAAAATATTTCAAAATACAGAATGAAAATTTTCAAATTCGATTCTATGTGGTTTTCTAGAACTAACTTGATAAAGCTTTTAAAAACATGAAATGCAATTCAATATTACTAATTATTTCAGATATATGTATTCTCTCTAAACATAGTGCCTACACTCTTTGTAGTTTATTTAGAAATTGATGCACCAGATTGTATGTAAATACTATGAATTCAGGACTTAATTGCAATTAATAGCTATTCATTGATTGGACTCAATAGCAATTAATTGAGAAATCAATTTCAATTAGAAGGTTGTACTTTATTATTAAACTATTGTTTTACTCGGGCGTTGACCCAAACAGATTTTGAGAATTTTCGAATACTTTGCAAGATATGAATTTATACAACATGTAAAACCACACACAACCATTTAACATCACATTGTTAGGTTTTGAGAAACCTCTTATAAAACACATTCACCGCATTGGTGAATAAATTTATTTCTTTTGAACATCTGAGTTTATTAAGACGTCTTTGCTCGATCATTTCTATGAATGTTACTAAAATAAATCCAAAATAAAAAATGTGACTCATTAATAAGTTTTCGGAAAAATCGCATATATGATCCCTCAGTTATCCACGAAATTAAAATCTCAGACCTGTATTTATGAGATTGTAAATGTCACCCATCAATTGTCCAAAATGTTGTAAATGTGGTCCTGTATTTACACACATTGTATATTTCACCCCTCAAAAGGACCACATTTACAACATTTTGGACAATTGAGGGGTGACATTTACAATCTCATAAATACAGGTCTGAGATTTTAATTTCGTGGATAACTGAGGGACCATATATGCGATTTTCCCTAAGTTTTCCAAAAATGTGATTTACTATATCATTCATGCCCTTATTTAATATTGCATTTATTATTTTTGTGATATTCTATCATTTATCATTTATTTAACTAGTAGCTCACCCTTGTGATGCACGGCAAAAAGCTTAAATACATATACTTAAATAAACATTCTCAAAAAGCATATTGTTGCATCTATTAAAATAACAAAAGTTGAATAACAAACATTATCTCTATAATTTTTGAAAAACTTCTTTGTAAACAACATTTGTAGTCTGTGTTGTGCTTTGTTCGCAAGCATCCACATAACAAATTTTCACCCATTTCGTATTGGTGGCCTGGGAAACCGCAACATAAAGCTTACCATGAGACAAACCTGACTTTTTCGACAACCCCACATGAGAGATAAATTGGTCTTGACTTTTATTAATAATCATTGCATAAGCAATCATTATTGGAAACTCTCTCCTCTGAAATTTGAATGGAAGTCTCACACCTGAAAGAGTTAGTGATAATTTTGGAATGAGAACGTGTTCACCCATTCGAAAGCTTTTAACCAAAATATTGCACTCATTGAGCATGTTCTTTAATCGCAATATCAACATCCAATTGACTCCTATCATTGTCTCCCCTTAAAAAATAAACAATTTTTTAAAAAAATTAACAAATCACAATGATAACCCAAATGCGCTTGTAATGTAAATCGTAAACAAAATACCTCACAAATGAAACTCTATTATCTATCTCATTTTTAGTATCATAAGTTTTACAATTGGGTAAACTTCGGATTTGAACCCTCCATGGGCAGTAAGCTGTCAATAACATAACAATTTTGACCATGGAGCTTAAAAATAGAAGGAGATCTTCTCGTATTCAAATTATTCTCTATTCTCCCTCCAATGGAAGTGAAAGCAAACGTATTGTTATAAGACCTAATGTTTTTAAGGAAATGTTTGCTGTTTTGATCTGTGCCGTAAATGAAATCATACAACTGTGCCATTTGTTGTTTCATGAAAGCAATATTGACTTTACTGTGCATGCAACAAAGAAAATACTTTGGACTCTTCTTAGTAGAATTAACAACCCGTTCTTCCATCCAAAACTGCGCACCACAATATACACTTGCATATTTGATCATAATATCCCAATACTTTGTGACACACACACCTATAAAATCTACTTAACAATACAACCCAAACTGATGGGACTTTATTAATTTTTTTAGTAAACAAAATTATTTCACATTTTTGAAAATTTCGAACCTCTAGAAGCATCATTCAATATATTTGCAAGTTCTTCGTATTCTATAAAATCATCATCATTACTCTCTTCACCAAAATCACATTCATTCATCAATGGTAGTTCACCGTCCCTTCCAAATCCTTCCTCAATGGCACACGATACATTGCAAACAGTGAGTGTATATTATAGAATGTATATTATTTCATTATAGGCCCCTGCAAACACTTTATAATTACACCCATGCATGTAGACAAATTTCCGTGTAAACTATTTAAGGAAAAAACAATAAGTAACAAAAAACTTTTTCATAGCAATTAAAGAAGAGCAACAAATCAGTACTATTTGTAAATAATTAGTAACCATATGAGACATGCGTTTTACAAATATTGGAAAATTTCTTTGTAGACAACATTGATTTTCTTCATTGAATTGTGCTTTGATCATCACCATACACTAACAAAATCTTCAGCCCTTTTCAATTATAAACTCTGGAAACCGCAACGTAGAGCTGGCCATATAAGAAAATTATCTTCTTTAACAATAATCCCACATGAGAGAGATAGAGACTGACCCTGACAATAATAGTCCTTGCATAAGCGACTATTATTGAAAACCGTCTCCTCTAAAATTTGAAAAGAACTCTAACATCCGAAGGTGTTAGTGAGAACCTTGGAATGAGAACACGTTCACCCATGCTCCTGCCAATGATAACCTTGGTTTCAAAATTATGGTCACCAAATCAATTAATGATTAGTGTACTACCATTACATATTTCCATTGAGTGGTCTATATGTTTCACAGAAGCATCATAGGAGTACCTACTTTCAATGTGAGCTCATGATTGGACCTGAAAGATGAATCTTATTAAAAAATCTCTGGTGTATGCAAGTCTGAATGACAAATAGCAATTGTGTGTATACATTTAAATAATAGCAATTATTTTTCATTAACTTGATAAAAGATAGTTGTAGATAGGTAAAAGTTATCCAAATATAACTTGTGATTACAATTATTTTACAAATAAAATATAATGATCTAATTTAAACTATTTGAATACATAAAGATATAATTATTTGAGTACAAATGTAGACAATAATCAGTAAAAAATCATATTGAACAATCAAATTTAGGTTATTTTAAATGAAGTCCCTTTAATTATTTAGTGAACTAATAGGTATTTATAGAACATACTGCTATTTCAATATCGGTTTAGGGGTGATGCTTAGTATCATTTAAAAATGTTTTTCTAATAAATAAGCAAGTGTATCCACTACACTAAACACTCATATTACGAAAGCCCAAGTTTACCCTTAACAATGTCACATATGATGACCCAATTGATTAAAATAATATAGACTGGCCCACAATGAAGAATCCAAACTATATTATTTGTATTTGTAGGGTTTGTCAGACAGATTCACCAATTTATTATAAAATGATTCAATAATAATAGAATATTATTGCTATTTTAATTTAAACACTGTTTTAATTAAAATAACCTTTAAATGCTATTTTAATGGAAATAACATTTGAATGGTATTTTAATTAAAATAACCTTAAAATGGTATTTTAATTGAAATAACCTTTAAATGCTATTTTAATTAAACAAAATGTACTGGGTAACAGGTAGACTATGAGCCTATTTGCTGACACAGAAATTTGCTGAGTCGACTTATTTTTCTACAATTTTCTGACTGAAGTTACTGAATTGCTGATTATGCTCATTTATGAAAAAATATATTTAAAATATTTTTTAATGATAAAATAAAGACAAAATCATATGAAAAACAGCTAAAATGATAATTTAAAATAACTTCAGCCAATACAGCCAGAAAAGTAACTCCAACCTTACTTTTTTTATTATTATTACACAATTCGCAATTCAGAGCGTGTAATCAAAATGTACGTGTTTAATGAAAAATCTGACTGATAAGCCGAAAATCAAGGTCAACAAATGAATTTTATAACACATTCATATAAATCTTTTAAAGTATACCCAGCCCCGTAAAAGAATAAAACCGTCCAAACATAACACCTTAAATTCGAGCCCAGTCCATAATAATACACTCCCTCAAAACAATTCGAATATATTGATATTTCAGAATAGGGTTTTCATTAACCCAAACCATTCGTATTCCACCTCTAACTTCGCTTCCAACCCTTCGAATTCCGCCGCATCTATCGCATCTATCGATCTGTCGTACTCCTGAGCCTAGTTTCTTCTTCATCGTTCATCGCTTAACATCGTCCATCGTTCCTAGTCAATCTTTCATCGGTAGTATTTCCGAGAGATAAGGTCATATGAGATCGATTGCACAAAGATGATTATTTTGTATTATCTATTTTTAGTTATTAGTTTTTCTTTGCAGACAATTATCTATATTTATAATAGATTTTACAATCTAAGAATCATCTAATCACTGCATGTATGTTTTATAGGTTCTTCAGATGGGGTTCTATCAAATGATGGCATAATATATTGTCCCAAAGAAATGGTATGTTTTTAAAGAATTATATCCTTACAAATCTATTTAAAAAAACGATTTACTAAACCATTAGAACTAAAATAAAGTATCAAAGTAGGTGTCATCAGAATATTATTTTTTAACTTTTGAAACTTTTTTGTGTAATGAAAAATTAGTATAGTTTTTGTCTCAAATAGAACCACATGTTTGAGTTATTACTTTCTAATTGCATACAGTAGGATGTTTTCTATTTAGTAGTTTTAATATTTTTGATTTTGTTTTCTGAAATCTATTAACCAACACATAGAGTTGAACTTTTAGATACCTTTTACTTTTAGCCTTTTATTTCTTTAAACCTTTTATTTCTAGAACGACTCTATTTCTAAGATTTCAAAGACTGTCAAAATTATATTCCTAACTCTAATGATTTACGATCAGTTCGCAAATTAATTAATGAAATTCTTGGTTAAAAAAGATTATGTATGTCTTTAGTATAAGTCGGTGTATGCTTTATAGGTTCTTTTGGTAGGATTCTACCAATTGAGAAGATAATATATTGTCTCAATGAAATGGTATGTTGATAGGTGTTATTTCATTTCATTTTTAACTTGTGAATGAAAAATGATTTACTAAAAAAACAGAAAATGAAAAATCTCAGAACATGAGTTTAATAGGAAAAATTAATTACTTGGTTGTTAAACATTCTATCTGTTAGGAAATGAGTAGAATGAGTATTGTCATTCATTTTTTTGAAGGTTGGAATTCATTGATTAAATACAAAACACAAATAGCACTACTGCTCGAACAAAATACCTTCAAAATCTTGAAGTACCAAACACAAAAATTCATGTATGCCGTGTAGTGCATCTTTTCATTGTACAAATAATAATCTTTTGCCAATAACATGGAATCATATGAACCACAAAAATTAAAATAGATAATTAATGTTCACTGAAAAGACAACCAAGTTCAGTTCCAAAATAAACACAACCAAAACATGGTTGAATCATAAAAGTTTAAATGTCCCGTCAAACCAAGATTAAATTGATTCAATAGCAGTGAGTATGAACTGAATTTAAAATACTAATTCACTTTAACAGTTCAGCAATTACAATACAGAAACATTAGTTGAAGCTTATTTTAGATACCTATTCATTTTCATACAGCTCCCTACTAAGAGCGGTAAATTCATCTTCATCCTACATTTAGAAACAAACTTTTGTGAATACTAATTACCAAAGAGGCCTGCCTGTAGGAATATGCAAAATGAATTTACCTCTACGGTTTCTCTATTATGAGAATACAACGATATCACTATAGGTTTGTTATTAACATCAATGAAACTAAAAGTCTTGCTTCCCGTGTAAACATGAGGATTCTTCTTGGTCTACACCCTAAACAATCTATATGTAAATTAATCTCTCAGGAGGAATAAATGTCCCACGTGTTACGATTTAGGTTAAGTAAATGATAAATTAAAGAGCAAGAACACAAGAATTTACGTGGTTCACACAATCGGGGTGATTGTGCTAGTCCACGGCGAACGAGAGAGAGCAGTGTATTATTATGTCGGCGTCAAGAGGTATTACACGTACAAAGATGTGTTTAAATAGGTTAAAGAAAAATCTAAACAAGGATTAGAGCCGCAGGCCCAAAATTAAGCCCGTAATTAAAAAATACTCCTCAGACCCGGTCGGGTCCCCTCTTGTACCCGGTTGGGTGTCTCCTCAAAAGGCATGCCCGGGTCGATACCAGGGTGAGTAACCTAAACAGAGGCCGAAACCTTCCACGGACCCGGTCATGTAAACCTCCTTACCCGGTCCGGTTTCCAATCCAGTGAGTTGCCCGACCAAGTTCATATCATACCCGGTCGGGTAATCCAACGTACCCGGTCGGGTAACTGTTCTAACATTCAGAACAAGGCTCCATCCTCAACACCGCGTTCATTGCTTTTCTGTAAAGCCGTAGAGTGAAACTTGTTAGCATTTTTAAGTAACACCACAGAAAAAATTCTCTTAACTTATAGTAAAGTCATACTTTCATTTCCATTTGGAGTGTGGCTGCTGTTTTACCAATTAATTGGGGGCATTGTTTATCCCACAAAACAAAAGTGGTAATAACTGGACATACCTTTCATTTCTTATACTATAGTTTGTAGTTATAAAATTAATTGCTTTACAATTTGTGAACATAAAATGCACCTAAGAATGACTGTAGAAGAATCACATCCACCAATGGAAACTATTTCTGCTATTGTCCAGAGCCTACCATCCTAATTATTAAAAATTTAACAGTTAGTATATTGGTTGGAGAATAGTGCGTTTTATAGATATTTACTACCTCTTCAGTTTTGAGCAATTCCTCATTACTTCCCAGCCTACCATTTCCATCAGCAATGTCATCTACACTCGATTGGGATGAATATGTGATGGTTGGAGTAGCAATAACTTCTTGACCTGGATGTAACCTGTCCAGGAACCACAAAAACAATCTCTTTTATTGATTACCTCTTATTATAATTTAATACTCGCTAGTATACAGTAAATGATGAGTGTTTCTCTTAAACATGTCTCTGATTGAAGATTGAATTTCTGACTTCAACACTTTTGAACCAAAAATGGTTGTGGTGGTATATAGTCCCATTTTAAGTATACATGATTTATAAGCCTAATCAATCATATTTGTGGTATTGTTGCATATATATTATGTAAGAATGAAACACTATTAGAAGTATTCTTGTAGGATGAATATTGTTCAATCAGAGAGTGCATGTTATTTCATTATTCCTGCAAAACTAAAACTGCTCAATGAATATTCAACTCTAATTTAACCGTTTACTTGCAGGTGGTAGAATTGATTGCTCACTCATCATCTGGGAGCGTTATTAGCAGCAGTTTTGTTGTGCCATTATTAACCGTTTTCATCATTGCATTACCATTAACCTTTTTGATAATATATGATGAGTATAAGAAAAAAAATTAAAAATAATTTTATAAAAGAATACTAACCATGTCCTTCATTTTCATCAACCGGCCGTGCAACTCGACAAAGGGCGTAATATAAAAAATCAATTCAGAATTTGCTCTCTAAAAGAGTAAAAGAATTCGATGGCAATATGCCTTGGATGAAAATTAGATCATAGATAGATGGTCAGAGCAAGAATAGATGACTAGCATCATTGCAGAGGGCGATGGTGGTGTGCCTTGGAAGAAATTGAAGGAAAACAAAGGGAGTTATCTTTGGATGTAGAAGATGAAGATAGTACTTTCCAACTCGTGGTTAATAAAGAAGGAATCTGGGTTGAATACAAAGAAGGGAAGTAGAGAAAAGTGGGAAGACAAGGTGAGAGAATGAAGTTTTAATAATGCAAGCAATGAATAATAAATGTGAAAAGTCACTTTTTTGAAAGAAAATGTAAATAGCTATATTTTTTACAACTGGAAAGACTAATAGTAATACATGTGCCATTTTTCATGTAAAATTGGCCAATATAGAAACTAATCTTTCAAGGGATAAATCAAATTTTATGAAGATTTATTTCACAATGCTTACATACTGGTTAGACAAAAATCCGAATAAAGAAACTTAAAAATGACTCAATTTATTTATTTTCGTATCCCTAATGCATGCGCATTCAATAGAAAGTACCAATTCCATAATATTATGGAGAATAAAATAATAATAAAAAATACTTTTATATTTCATTTGAGAATGTCACAATGTGTATGTACTCACAATTAACTTATTATGTTACATATTTGATCAATACCATTTCAATTTCTTAACTCGATAATCTATATATGAAATTAATATGGAGAATGCAAAAAACTTGAAATCACTTCATTTTTTTTCTTATCCTAAATATATGCATATTTAGTATAAAATACTATTCCCATATATTAATAGAGAATATAAAAATATAGATAAATGTGGTTTATATTCATTTAGGCGAATCACACAATGTGTATTTAGTCACATTTTACTTATGAAGAAATTCCACTTATGGTCCTTCGAGTTTTGCACCAATTCCACAATTAGTCCTCGTCTTTCATTTTATCCATTTTTGGTACCTGACTATCGTTTTCTTGACCATATATAGTCCTTTTTCGATAGTAAATATGCTCAGAAATGGACCACAAATGGTCAAGAAAACAATAGTAAGGTACCAAAAATGGATAAAGTGAAAGACGATGACTAAATATGGAAATGACACAAAACTCGGAGGACCTAAAGTGGAATTAATTCATTTACTTATTATATCATACTTTATTAGTATTATTTTAATTCTTAAAATTAAAAATAAAAAATTTGTATTTTTAAATGCTTCTCCTGTTGTGATTTGAAAGGTAATTTTATTAGTAAATGAGAAAATATGTCAATTAGTTTTTAATCATTCCCTCTTATGTTTTAAATACAGTGACATTTTATCACATATTTTTCAACAGAAACTATTGCTTTAAATGGGTATCTTATATGGAAATCTAATCATTATACACTTGTTACTAAATAAATATTATATTCACTTGATTTTTTTGAAAAAAGCAATTTATTCTTTTATATGTTTTTAAATAAAAATAACTTTTATTATTAAAAGAAACTTAATATTGTAGAATAAAAAAATTATGTTGTGCATATGAATAAATATGTAGAATATGCAAAAAAGTATAATCGTTCCAGGTGGTTTTCTCTCTAATTGGGATGATGATACACTTTGTAGTTTATTTGGAAATTGATGATCCATAACATATGTAAATACTATGAATTTAGGACTCAATCTCATTTAATGAGTATTCACTAATTGGACTCAATAGCAATTAATTAGGAATTCAATTTCAATTAGAATGTTGTACTTTATTACGGAGTATTAAGTAAGTAGATAAGTGGATAAGTAGATATGCACGTGACGATTCATGTGACTTATTCTACTTTTTTATGTCTCTTACTCCTTTTCTTTTGTGGTAGCCTACAAGTCGTTGAACCATACACACACATATAATATTAACAAACCTCAAACACATTTTCTATTTTTCATGAATTTAGGTCTTTTCAAGTAATTGCTACTCCGTGTAAAATTGGGGTCTTGAGTGTACATAAATTTACTTGTGGTTTAAGACTGGTGAGTTGTACTACTAGAAAAAATCTTATTTGTTGCGGTTAATTTGACTTATTTAATGCAGTTTTTAACCGCATCGATAGTGAGTACAACCGCAACAAAAAGTATTTTTTATTTTTAAAAAAAATAATCTTCTTTGTGACCTCAAACGCATCCCAAAGTATGCACAACCCCTAGATCCACTTCCAAACCACTAAACCATTGCAAATTTTTTGTCCATATATGGTAAATATGGCATATTCAACATGTATGAATTGTATTAGATATTTAGATCTAATATTTTTTATTTTAAAAATTTATATGCACAATATTTACAAGATATATTAACTATGCACTTGAAAAGTAAATAATAAAGCAAAAAAATCGTGAAAATTTATAGATAAACTATTTTTTCACACCATTGCATAGATCTCGAAAAATATGTAGTTTCATTTTTTTTATCTCAATCAGATAACCCAACGCAAAACAAAGTGTATTTTTAGAAAATCGAAAAATCATTGTATTTGTTGTGGTTATAGTCGCTTTAACCTCACCAAATAACTCATTTTTTGTTAATTTCAAATACACTTCGTTTCGCGCTTGGTTATCTGAGCGGTATATTTTTAAAAAACACATATTTTTCGAGATCTATGCAACGATGTATTTTATTTTATAAAAAACTACCTATTTGTGTCGTTTTTAGCTATAACTGCACCAAAAGTTATACTCTCTCCCTCCCACTTTAAGGTTCCCACGTGGTTTACGATTTTTGAAATATCATAAAGTTAACTGATCTATGTCATTAATGGAATTATTTTTAGTGAATAAAATTTACATATTCAGAAACTACATTAAAACCGCTACAAAATCTACAAAAAATAATTTAAATTTCATAAACTTTTGATATATACAACAACAACAACACCCAAGCCTTAATCCCAAAAGAATTTGGGGTCGGCTAACATGAATCGGTCTATGATAACGATGCCAAAAAGAGAAGACGAACAAGAAAGAGAAGAACAAAAAGTAAGATAAAATGAATAAAATAAAGATAAATAAATATAAGATAACAATAACACAAGAATATAAAAAGATAAAAGATAAAAAATAAAAGAGCATAAAAAAGCTAGAAGATAAAAATAACATAAGGATATAAAAAGATAAGGAAGATAAACGATAAAAGAAAAAAGAGAGGAAAGGTAGAAAAGACATCAATCGTCCACACGGATGTGCGCCCTCCACTTTGCTCTCCCCAAAGTCATACTCTCATCCAACCCAAGAAGACGCATATCAGTTCTGATTCCTCTAATCCAAGTCTGTTTGGGTCTTCCCCGTCCTCTCTTCTCTGCCTCTTCTCCCCACCCCTCAAGTCATCTAACAGGTGCATCACCCGATCTTCTACGCACATGCCCAAAACCACCGCAAACGAGATTCCTGCATCTTATCTTTCTATAGGTGCTACTCCCACATTTTGTCTGATTACCTCATTCCTCAAGCGGTCTTTTCAGGTATGCCTACACATCCAACGCATTATACACATCTCTGCCACACTCATTTTTTGAATGTGTCATTGTTTCACCGCCCTACACTCTACGCCATACATTAATGCCGGCCTAATTGTTGTACGATAAAATTTACCTTTCAGTCTAGTACGATAAACTTTTGATATACTTCGTATAAAGTAAAATATTAAGAACAATGCACGTTGACCGGAGAATAGTGAACGAGAACCTTTAAATGGGACGGAGGGAGTACTTTTTACTAAAAACTCTAAGAATTACTTATTTGATGCGGTTCTTACATGACTACAACAAAAAAGTGCAAACCGAACACCTATTTGTTGTGGTTCCACTACAACCGCAACAAAAAGTCCCAATAACATACTTATTTGATGTGCAGGTTCCGTCTCGACTCCAGTAAAAAGTCAAAAAACAATAACTATTTGGAGTCCTCAGAAGTATTTTTGCACTTTAACCTAAACACTCTAATATCTGTTTCTGGTCTCTGGAGTAGCAGAAGTAGTTTTAAGAAGTAGATCCAAACACCCCATTTATAATATATGTGTGATTTTAATCAATGTTCTAAAAGGCGTAGCTTAGAAGTGAGACGACGGAGAAACGGCCCACATAGTAGAAAAGCATGCAAAAGACGGTCATTCAAAGAGTTGAACATCAAATGCGTGAAAACACGTAAGCCTAGGCGTTAAAAGACAGAAGTTTTTTAGATAAAATATTTTTTGAAAAGAAAAAATTAATTATATTCAAGAAAAAATACTTTTATAAACATGTTATATACGGAGTATGAAATCTAGTACGGAGTAGTAAAAAGCAACAATATATCATTTTGTATTTGCACTTTGTATAAATTTAAAAAGTATACTTCCTCCGTCCCATATTTTACTTCCAACTTTTCCTTTTCGTTTGTCGCAAAAGAACTTCTCTTTCCCTTTTTGGCAAAGAATTTGTGGTTCACAGCAATTCTTACACATTCTTACATATTTCTCTCTCCTCTGCACAACTCTCTACCACACAATTCCCACTTTCTTAATCTGTGTGCTATTTGTACTATGAAAGTAAATTCTGAGACGGAGGGAGTATATATTGAACAAATTAAAAATTAGACTCAATCTTGTATAATATATTTTAGATATTTATTTTTTCTTCATATATCACTATAAAATTTTTATTACCAATAAAATTTTGAAATGTCTTTTCACGCCTAGATTTCACTATTCCTACCTAAACTTCAAAGGCGGCTTGTCTCACGCTGTTTAAAACAATGGTTTAACTCGTTTTTATTTTTCACAATTTATTAATTGAAGATCAATAACATAACATACATCACCATCTTAGGATGTTTTTACTAGGATTGAAATTTTCTGGTCTGGTTTGGTCTGATCTAATCTGGTTTGGTTTGGTCTGAATTGGTCTGATAAATGTCTTGTCTCTATAACTATCCAAGTCTGATCTACTCTTGTTTAGTCTCATGTAGTATGGTCTGAGACCGAAAACAATCAAAGTAAAAACATCTTTAGAAAGATGAGTTATATTTAACATGCTAAAATGTTGTTTGTACTCACCCTTGTACCCATCTTATATCCATCATGTCTATGAAGATTTTGGATATAAGTGAGTATAAGAGTAAGTGGAAGGAACATTTTTGTTCAAAATGATATCGTCCAAAGCCGATTCATATACGGAGTATTAAACACAGACACGACAAACTGTATTCGTTGTGCATTGTTTGAATTTCAAAAAAATGCAGGAACACAACTGTCAACTGCACACACATTGGGCAATGCAGTTTCTTTCAAACAGTGCCAATAGCCTCCACTACACCCACCAGTCCACACCACACCACCCCTTTCTACCCGAGAAAACCTCCATGCTCTTTTTGGTTAAACCTCTTTCTAAAATTTCAAGCCCTTTCATTTGCCTTTTCTTGGATTTGATATGACCCTTTCTGTTCAAGCTGAATAATAAAGCTCTCTCTTTCCCTCCTCTCTTTATCTCTCTCGCTGCTATTTTGCATTCAATGCCATTTCAATTTCCAGTGCGTTGTTTCTTACTGTAGATTAGATGCATTTAAGGTCCGCTTCCATTTTCTCTAGTAGTTCTGCATCCTGTACCCTGTCTGCAAGATTCAGCTTTTAATCCACACTTCTTCATAGTTAAAATCTATTCCGAATCTTTGTTGAGCTAGCTAGTTTGAATGGGTGCTTCTGGGAAATGGGTGAAAGCTTTGATAGGATTCAAGAAACCTGAAAAAGATGACCACCATGTGAGCTCTCAAATCTCTGCTAAAACTCTCAATGCTTTTAACATTGTGTGGTAAATAATGTATGGGCCTGGTAAAAATCGAATCTTTTTCCACCATAACTTTTCTGTGACTGATTGAGGCGTTTCTTTATAGGAGAAGATGCCTGGGAAGAGCAAGAAATGGAAGATATGGAGGGGCCCACCAGGAGATCAAGGGGGTGCTGGTTCTTCATTGAAGGGTTTGAAAGGGTACCACCGGATTTATGAAGGGTCAGTTTCTTCAACAGTGAACAATGATGCTTTCACGGCTGCCATGGCCACTGTTGTTAGAGCTGCCCCCAAGGACTTCAAGGCTGTGAGGCAAGAATGGGCTGCCATTAGGATTCAAACTGCTTTTCGTGGGTTCTTGGTAAATTCTTATGACACCGTAAAAAATCATCCTCAAATATCTACCCAAACACTCCCTAAAAACATTTCTGATAATGCTGATGTTTGTAGATTGCTATTAGTGAACTTGGTAAAACAAAAACTACATCTAAAACTAAATATTTGTTTTTACTTGGCTTAACAAAATGATAAAACTCACATGTATGGCTTTGTGATATAAGACAAAGAGCATTTATGTTTGTTCAGTTTTTCTCGATTTTCAGTTCGGTTTGTGAGGAAATAACACATTCAAACTATACTATGTTTCATTTGGACCATTTAGATTTGTTATTTTAAAAACTATATGAAGATTTTAATAACTATTTATCTGGTCTGATTTGTTTGATCTCAATTCACTTTGAATGTTTTGAAGGATATTACTGAACTAAAACCGAATAACTTATAATTCAGTTTTACTATTGATTAGTTCGGTTTATTTGGGTATGAACAAGACCAAAACGCCCCAATGACAACTCTTAATAAATGGAAGACAACTTTTGCCAAATCTACTAATACTGTTCCATTAATTAATGAATGAATGGTACAATATAGGCAAGGAGGGCATTGAGGGCGTTAAGAGGGTTGGTGAGGCTTCAAGCTTTGGTGCGCGGGCGGCAAGTGAGGAAGCAAGCCGCGGTCACCCTTAGGTGCATGCAGGCATTGGTTCGCGTGCAAGCCCGGGTTAGAGCTCGTCGAGTTCGTATGTCCATGGAGGGGCAGGCTGTGCAGAAGGTGATCGAAGAGCACCGCGGCAAGCTCGACTGCTTGAAACAGGCTGAGGTATATAATATAGTTAGCCATTCCATATTCAAATTTAAAAAATCTACACATGTTGAAGGACTATTCAAGGACCACTAGTTACTACTCAACCTTAATTACTTATTTCGTCCTACATAAAGAAAGCCTGCAAATTGCCAACTAATTTCTCCACATTCAAACCAAATCACAGAATCCTCTAATCAGTAACCACCTACCTCCAATTATTGACTTTTGTCCTCGGTTCACTAATTGTTCTAACAGTGACAATAATCGTCTCAGTGACTCACATACTAACAGTAAGTGGCAGTAAGTCGCTGACCTCTGATTAATAAGTTAAAATGGTGGTCCCTTTTATTATGGAGATGTTTAAGAGTATTTTTGGTCACTTGATCCAACTTTTGAAGCCATTACAATTACAAATTTCATTAATTATATGATTTGAAAGATACTACTCCCTCTATAGTCTATACCAAATTAGTCGTCCATTATTTTAGTTTCTATAGTAAAAGAACAATGCAAAATGTAAATGGGAGTAGATGTGCAATTTTCCTTTCAAAACTTCATGTTATGAATGGCAGGAGGGATGGTGTAACAGTAGAGGAACACTTGAAGAGGTGAAGGCCAAGATACAAATGAGGCAAGAGGGAGCTTGTAAGAGAGAGAGGGCACTTGTCTACTCCCTAGTTCAGAAGGTACTACTCAATGAGACTATTTCCTTTTACCCCTAAGTTTTCATTTCATGGCATTTAAGTCCGCCTAAATTTGGTTAATTACCTAATAAAAAGGACATTCCGGTGCACATTCACAACTCAAATCGTCAAATGTGCATCACCTCATTTACCTAAAAAAACAAGGTCAATTACCCAATATAACTTCATGGAAAAAGCTGTTGGTACACATTTTTTGTACACATTTTGCTTACACCCCTAATTGTCTGTCTACACAGACAATTCGTTAAAAAGTTGCTTTGTAGATAGACATCTGGGGGAGTGTGTACACAATATGTCTAAAAAAAGTGTGTACACCAAACATCATTCTAACTTCATTTTCCCATGTATTCATACATACACATCTAAGTCATTTGAAAATAACCAAACAATGAAATCTCTAATAATATTTGAATTTGGAATGATGGATTTGACATTCAAATAGAGTGCGTGACTATTATTGACCATCTAATCCATTTTGAGTTTTGCTAGAAGTACCTCATTTTTATCCCACCCCCTAATGTAGTAATCTGTGGTCATAAATGGACCAATTCATTTAATTGGTGCCTCACTTAAATGAATTGTCTCATTTATGACCACAGATTACGGGGCGGGAAAAAAATGAGATACATTTTGGGTATCTTTAGCATTTGTGATCCATTTTTTCATAAATCCCATAGCTCTTCCTCTCTCCTTCCCGCCTTTGGATTTGTGCCTGGCACTATGTCGTAAGGCAGAGGACCCATTTTCATACTCCCCGTCTCATTGGACTTTGCCAACTTTTCCCTTTTGGTTGTCCCAAAAAACTTTGTCACTTTCCTATTAAAGCAATTAATTTGTGGTTCTACACATTTCTCTCTCCTCTGCACAAATATCAACGACACAGTTTTTACTATTCTTATTTTTCACCTACTTTGCGTTTGTCAAAGTCCACCCGTACGGAGGTAGTAATATTTAGCTCCAATTCTCCAACCAAATTAGTTTCAAACAATGCCCACCTAAGTCCTAGCATTATCAAGGGTATCTTAATTTTCATGTTTGGTAATTCCAACAATTAATAATTCATCCTAATAATAATTATAAATTGAATATTTATGGCAAGTAATATTTTATATATATATATATATTTTACTGGTGTAGGAGAGGCTGGTCCAGAACTCAGACTCTCAAACGACTATCTCCTTTCCCTCTTTAAAGACTTACAATTTGGACAAGAACAGCTGGAGCTGGTTGGAACGATGGATGGCTGCAAGGCCATGGGAGAACAGACTGATGGAGCAAACTCAAACCCCAACCGACCCAGTAGAAACAACCCCAAACTCCAATTCCAAGAAGACTTGCTTCGTCGATTCTTCCGCCAAGGAAAATCATTTTGAACCATTCTCTGTTACAGTCAGAAAGAACAACGTAACCAAACGGATTTCAGCCAAACGTTCATCTTCTAGCCCTAGTTCCGAATTCCGGTATGACGAGAGTCATGTCCAGAGTTCCGCTTCTTCTTCCCTCTGCACATCCACAACTCAAATCTCAGGGAACTCAGGGGATAGATCGGTGGAGAAGAACAGCCGTGTGCCGAATTATATGAGCTTGACTCAGTCAACTAAGGCGAAGCAGAGAAATAGCAGATTCCTTAGACAGTCCATGGACGAGTTTCAGTTTCGTAACCTTCATAAATCTGGCGATTTCAGTAACGCAGGGTCTGATCTTTCGTCTGCAAATTTGTCTAGGCCCTTCTGTCTACCTACTCGAATGGATAAATTCGCTAAGTGAGTGAAATTCTTCCCAACTTGTAATCGAATATGAATCCGTTTGATGTGAGACATTGGAAATGTGATCTAAGATTTTTCATCTTTGTAAAATTATGAGTTTTATTATTTATTCCTGCATAATATGATCCATTTTTCTGCTGCATTACATTAGAGTCATATAAAGAAGAAAAAGTAGGTCGCAGATCTTCAAGTCATTCTTTCTTTCATGTACGGCGGATGGCTTGGATCTTGACGCCGTGCTTGAAGTTTAAAACTATGCCGTACTGCATCTCCAGAGGGCCATCCATGAGGGGGGAGCGTCGAAATATGTACTTTTTGTATAAATGGATGAGGGCGAGTTTGATTTCTTGCAAGGAGAACTTCTGTCCTAAACATCCTCTTGGCCCTATTCCGAAAGGAATGTGTGCATAAGGATGTCTTCCTTTTTCTTCTTCACAACTTGGATCGAATCTCTCTGGCTTGAACTTTTCGGGTTCTGGAAAGTTCTTGGGATCTTTAGCCAGAACTCCAAGGGCTAGCCATACCCATGTCCCCTGCTCAATGTTAAATACTTAAATGTGAATGGAAAATCAAACTGAACATTTAGAATTTGGGGACTTGGAGTTGCGAATACCTTTGGGAGGCTGTAACCTCCAATCTCTACTGGTGCTGATGTCTCTCTTGCAACTAGTGGTGAAACTGTGTAGAATCTCATTGCCTCTTTAATTACCTAAATGTATTGTGATTGGAAACATGAGTTTGTGTGCTAATTACTTGTGTAAACATAGGTAACACTATAAGAGTGTTTTGTAAAGTTAATTGGCTGAAATTGTGGAAGCCAGTGAGTTTTTGGAAGGAAAAACAGTTTACAAAATAGATTCAATCAAATAAGTAAATCAAATGATTCTCTTGTTGAATGTTGATAAGCCAATTTGTGTCACCAGACACAATACATATTGCAAAACCCCTTGACTCATTTGAGATTAGTGAACTCCTATTTTCTTTAACGACTTCAATTTGAAGTGGGTCTTCTCTCAACAAGAATAATGAAATATGGATGAATCCTTTTGAGCAAAGGGGTGTATTAAAGTGTCATATGGGATGTTTATCATATTACGTCTAATAACATTTCAGTACGACTAAAATCTCATCTCTTTAGAGGATCTTTATAGATGAGCTTGTTAAGCCTAATAATATGGATATAGCTATGCAACAAAAACAAGGAGGTAGAGATTTGCCTGATCAATATATGGAAACTTTGTCTGAAGATCATGGGCGCTCGGCACCTGATCAGCTGAAAGCCCATCTACCTCTTCGACCAATTTTTTTTCAACCAGTGGATGACCGGAAACCAGGTAGATAATTGAAGACAATGTGAAAGAAGTCGTTGCAGAACCAGCCAATAAGTGCTCATAAGTCACTGCGCTAATATAATCAGAGGTAAAAACATTCTTTGCCACTTTCTCGGACTCCACCTCACTCAGGATAAGGGACAACAAGTCCTTCGTCCCACGCTCCTTTTCTTCCCTTCTCTTTGCAACAATGTCGTCAAGTCGCCTGCTAAGGTCCTTGTTTGTGTTCTCCACTTTCCAGTCCATTGTTCCGGGGATCCTCTTGAGGATTTGCCGAAACGGTTCCTGAAGAATGGGGACGATTAGACCCAAGATGATGGAGAAGGAGCCAGACAAGTCCATCTTGAGCTGTGTTGTGGAGTAGATATGCTGGTTGAGGAACTCTTGGATTCCATTGTCAAGCGACTCTTTGTCCTCTTTGGGGGGTTTCGACAGACCAAAGTCAACTCCAAATGCAGCCTGCCCAATAACATCAGTGGCTAATTTGAGGGAGAGGTTAGAAAAGGTGAAGTCGTCCCCTTTAGAATCAAGATTCTGAGTCGCGGATTCGATGAATGATTGCATAGTTGGGACCAGCTTGGCCAGGTGAGATGGCTGGTAGATTGACACTAGTGTGTTTCTCATTGATGACCATCTTGCATCCCTGCAGGTTTCCATTAATGGTTCTTTTAGGTATAGTGAATTTAAGTAAACATGTTGAATGGAAGTAAAATTAGATTCAGTAAAAATCAGTGGAACAAAACCAAGTGCATATGTAGCTAGCAATGTTGTTTGATTAGTTATTAGGTTAACCTAAATTTTGGACTAACAGTTTGTTTGGATGAAAGTTAAGCTCTAATGATCGTTGAACATGTTAAAATTACAACGGAACATATATCCTTCAAAAACTTTGGACTCTCAGATATTCCAAAATGGAGTTATTAGATGTTTTGCATATCCAAATCAAATCTAGGTTATCTGAAATCCTAGATTCTTATCTTATACGGATTATTTGAAAATAAAATGAGATGAACTAAAATTACACCTAGAAAATTATAATATCGCCTTCAGTGGTAGTTTGACTTCTAAAAAGTTTAGGTCGCATTTGGATGGATTCAATGATTTGAATTTTTGAATTAATTTAACGGGAATAAAATAAAATTATGTTTCAAGGTTTTCATAAGTCCCGTGGTCCCAAAATTTACGCCATAGCGGAGTTGGGAAAGGAACAAAGTACGGGAGAAGAATCCAAAAACCTTCCTTATTTCCTCCTATCCATATTGACCACATGGATCAGATAACATTTGAGGGGAACCGGACCATTTGAAATATAGGACCCGGTCTGGGACAGAAATCAGCCCGGAATCGAACCGGTATGTAAATTTACTTATTTGGTACACTGGGAAAGATATGTCAATTTAGTTTAAAAAGTTAATATCACGCCAAAATATCGATCTCATTTTCAAATATCATTCCTAAAATGTCATTAATAAAACAATTACTACTTTAGGTAGTATGGGTGGAATCGGTGCGAGTTGTCCGATTGAGATTATCTAATTTTAAAACTAGATAAGAATTTTCTAACGAGATATTAAACACTTTCAACGGAACAAAATAGAGCAAGATATGATCGGATCAAATTTTACGCGAGTTCATTGTGAAATCAGAAATATTTGTTAATTTATGGTTAATCTGTAACTTTTAATTAATGCATTGTAAATGTAATTGGAAAAATAGCTTTAGAACTCCAAATTATCTTTCCAACGCGATATAATTTGGACTAAATTAAGTTTTTTAAAATATTACTATATCCGTCCCAAATTGATTTGCAAATTTAACTTTTCTTAGTCAAACAGATTCATTTTATTTGCTTAATTAGGATGTCAAATTTTTATTACATTATAGCTTGGAGATTACAACTTTGAAGAGATTTTAATGTAGTTTCTGAATATGTAAATTTTAAATAATAAAAATTGAATTAATTATCGATTGAGATGATTGACTTTTATATTGGTTGACAAAAATTGTTGACTTTGCAAAATACATTGGAATGGAGGAAGTAAACGTCAGCCCGGGAAAAAATGAGAATCTGTTAGGAATCGACGTGAAACCAAACCGCCTATACCGTGTCACGGTCTAGGTCTCTCCCTTCCCATGGCCCGAACCGATCGTGCTGAAACTCGACCCGGTACGTTATCCTTATTCTGTAATTGAGTTCATGGAAATAGGAAACCAGGGAATTTTATTCAATTCTCAGTCTTCCTGATTTTAAACGTGATGATGTATGGACTGATTCCAAGAATTAGTTCCATATCCAAAATGAGGTAACCATAAACCAAAAAACAGAATAAAATGAAATAAAAGTGCAGAGCTGTGGATTGAATGACCTGGTGAAAAACAGGCCTTTCTGATGGAGAGGGGAAGCAGAGATGGGAGAGGGGATGCTTCTGTTTGTGAAGAATTTGAATTTCTTGATCCCAACTTCTCTACAAAGCTCTGCATCTGCTATGATCACCAATGGCTGCCTCCCCATATGGAACCTTTATAAAAGATACAACCTTTTTCAACAATCTTATACAGACCCCTTTTCTTCTTAATATGGAATGGAAGATGACTGATCATAGACCAAGACCGTGTTTGGATTACCTGAAAATGGGGCCGTACTGTTTCGCGAGGACAGAAAAAAGATCAGGGCCATACTTGGCAAGCAAGGGAAGGTGCCCTACAAGGGGAAGTGCTGGAGGTCCTGGCACTCTTCTCACCAGCCAATAAGGTCTGTACAAGTACACTAAAGCTCCAGCAAGAACTGCCAAAATGGTGTAAAGGGTAGTTATTGAAATGGTCAAAACTTGATCTTTTCCTCCAATCCACTCCATTGCGATCTTCAGTCGCTTCTCAGAACTGAAGAGCCAAATTAAAATGATTTGTAGGTGATGGAGGGAATAGACTGGATATTCACTAGGCTGCCGGCCTTAGGTTCTTATAGTGGGTAGGCCCAGTTTATTGGGTGGATTTTCTCACTTCCACTACTGATGATACTTATAGCGAGATTAAGTCATGCTTGTCCCAATACCAATTCTCCATAGTAAAAGAGGGATGAAAACAACATATAACCGGGAATATAATAGGGGATAGTCTTTTGTTTGTATTAAAATATTTATCTACTCCCTGTATATATATACTTCGTATTTAGTATTATACGTCGGTATGTCCTGTTCTTTTACCCATAAAATAATATACTTCGTACTTCGTATGTATTGCCACTAAAACTCGACCGATCTTTTTTAAAGTAATTGAAATTCTTGCTGGCTGAAATGAATGAATAAAGAAAATGGTACTACGTATATGATATAAGAATAAAATAGTCCTGTTCAGCAAAATTGGTGGATTCACCTGTAAAAGTATATTCAACTTTATATATTTTCAGTAAGCGAAAAAAAAACAGCATAAAGAAGAAGATACAACTTATAAGTCGAAAACAGAACCTACGAAATTGTCCTTAATTCAATTTAAGTATTATTAGAGTGTGTTTGATAACATCAAAATTGGTTGAATGGAATGAAGCTGCTTAAATTGATTAAATTCTAGTTGAAGCAATTGAATTGGCCAAATCTTCTGAATTACTTAAAAGTTATATTAACATCGAAAAGTTATATCACCTTACTTCCACCACTGTTTGTATCAAATGAAAATAACTCCCATAGTTCGGGAAAACGAAAATAGAGTATAGCTTCATATTTATACATAATGTTATCATCACTGTTTTAAAGAAATTAAAAAGATTTGTCCGTCAAATGTTATGCAAACAAAATTCATTAGCTATGAACAAGTTTTTGTTTTGAGCTATGCATTAGCGACTGTGGTGGAAATAAAAAGCCCAACGTAAAGTCACTTAACCAAACACGTTTATTAGCCGATTTATCTGGTCAAAAGACTAATAGTGATCAAATCAGTCGAAAAGTGATTGATAGTCTATCAACCAAACACCCCCAATATAAGAGAGAATGCTGGAAATAGAAATATTTAAAACTGGACTGTCTTAATTAATTTTCCATGTGTAAAAGATCAAGTTGTATGTTTATACTAAAAATAAACTAATCTAAGAATGAAACGAGAATCGAATAATTATGAATCAATAATGGATAGAACACAAATATAGATATGCAAATTAAGAATTAAATATATGGAATATCTTGTATATGGGATCTCTCGTATATTTCTTGAGAATTGAGTACAAAGTAATAAGCCAAAATGATTACTCTCCTCCCCTCCTTGGTTTGCTTCATACTCTATTTATTAGCTAGAATTTGCTCCTTCCCCAAGTTTCATACTTGCTTTCCTATTTTCTCTCCACGTCTAATCACTGGTACCAATCTTTTTTTTTCTTTGACTTAGTGTAGCTCTAAATAATACCCGTTTATCCCCCTGGGCTTGATCTTATCTAGACTGTAACCGTGGGCTTCTTCTTGCTGCTATTGGGCCTCTGGCAACTGCCAAACGGAACACCAGTCCAAATATTAAGGAAATATTGGGTTCCAACAATGTATATGTTGAAAATGGATAAAAATGTAGTACCAGGTCTATAGACGAACTACGAATATACTAAGCACCCATATGGTAGATATGTGAATAAGGACTCAATACGGTGTATCGACTAATTAATTAGGAGTATTTTTATAATAGAAATTAGTTCAAATAGGACTAAAACTATGGCAAAAATCTAAAATAGGACTTGTTATGTTTTTATTCCAAAATAGGACCATATGAGTCCTATTGGAAACATACCTATTTTTGCATTCCATTCTTACCCTTCCATTAAATATGAATTAAAAATAGTCAAAAGCCATAATTAAATGTTTAATTCATAATAAATTAGAAAAAATTTCAAAATTTCGTAGAAATATAATTAAAAAATTTATAAAATTTTTATAAAATAAAAACTTCAAAAACTTTTTTTTTTAAAAATAATTTTATTTTTAAAAAAATTAATAAAAAATAGTAAAACTCCGTAAAAAAAATTTTAAAAAATATGGATGCCTTTCCCACCGCCTGTACTACCTCCCAGCACCACCACCTCCGGCCGATGAAAAAAATGCCATTTTCCCAGAAAAATGCCATTTTTTTTTCTGAAAATGCCAAAAAAGTGGCATATTTCTCTTTTCGAATGCCAACATTTTCATTTTTTTCTGCCATAAATATGGCATTCGTAATGAACTTGACATTTTTCCACCTGGTGACTGGAGGTGGTGGTGCTGAGGCAGCAGAGGCAGCGACGTTTTTTTTTTTTTGAATTTTTATTTTTTTTTATTTTTTTTAAATTTTTTTAATTTTTTGAAAAAAAAAATAATTAAATTTTTAGTATCGAATTGTTTTTCTTAATTTTTTTAGTATTTTTTACGAATTATTATTATTTTTTATTATTTTATTAGGAATTAAAACATTTTAATAGCTATAAGGGTATAATTGTCCAAGGTACACATAATTAGTCCTATGCAAACATAGTTTATTTTTTGGTCCTATTTGTGAAAAGTGAATGACTTTTAGTCCTATTTTGATAATTAACTCTTTTTATAAAATCAACTATTACTATCGCCCGGATTCCCGATTACGGTTCAATTTTATATTGGCACAACATTAAACTATTTAACTATGCAATTATACTATTATACAGCTATAATTCACATACTATTTTATTAATATACCATTCTAGCTAAAGAGATTTCCCAAGGTATAACGTTGTTTAAATTTCTTGCATGAATTTAGATTTTAGTATTCAAAAGTGCCTCATGCATCATATCTCATCCTCCACTTAGGATATTTGAATGTGATCAGGGCGAAGTCAGGGCACTGGGCCAGACAAGAACGGTACAAAGAATATTATTGGAAAAAAAATACACAATTTTTTACACTAAAAATATTGGCATTTTTTAAATTTGGAGTGGACCAAAGCCTAACCTGGACACCCCCTAGCTCCGCCCCTGAATGTGATCATATTTTTCTTCTCCACTTCGGGCACTTCCCAAAACAAAATTTTTATTTTACATTTATATGTTTTTCATTCTCCATAGACATTAAAGATGAAACTATGCAATCATTATTTTTTTTTAGAAGAGATGAACAAAATGAACCACATGTTAATTTACTTAGAAAATGAGTGATCGTTTTGCAATATAAAACTCCTTAGAAGTAGAAGAAGAAAGAAATGAATCATTCTTGGTGACCCCATTTTGTAGTATCTCATTTCAATTGTACACGACCATTTGTGTGTTTCACAAAGATCATTTCATAAATTAATTGTCCCCACTATTATGATGAATTACCTTTTATGAATTACCTTTTGTAAATCATTATTGGTGTAACCAATTTTGGGGTACCCTATTTGTACACCACCATTGTTGTAGTTCACAAAAGATCATTTCATAAACTAATTGTCCCACTATTATGAATTGGCTTTTGTGAACCACACATATAAGGAATACAAATGACTCCAAAATGGAGTTCCTCCAGTATTTTTGTGAAAAAATGAATTTTTCTAGATGTAAGATGTACCGATTTTGTGTACCGATTTTGTACCCCATGTTGGATGTTTTACCTAATTGTTATAAATTAAGACTTTTTCCGAATTAATGCTAATTAATTAATTACAAAAATAATGTTGGGTTAAAAGTATTTACCGATATACTGTTGGGATTAACCATGGTCGGGGTAAGTCGTCAAACGGTTGGGCGACTTATAACTCGTCATCCGGTAAGACACCAATAAAATTCACATCTAATAGAATGTAGATGGTGAATATTATATCTATTACACGTGCACTAATTAATCATTCTTTTCATGGGATTATGCAATATTGGAAGCACTGTTACACATTTGTTTTTTTAGACCGATAGTAGCAACCACTTTTGTGTATACTAATTGATGACTAGATCTTAGCCTGAGATTTTTTACTTATGCATATATGGTTGTTAACTAATTGTGCCTAATGCACCTCCCACAACGCTCTATAATCGGTCTTAAAAAGACAAATAATTAATTTTGTGTTGGATACGAATCCCCAACAATAACCCGCTATTAGTCTTAACAGATAATATGTGCACCGCTTTGCGGGATATGACTTTGATGAGACAATTGATTTTCCTGTCATTAGGGGGATATTAGAGAAAGAACTCTCTAATTGAATGACAAAATCATTATGATGGTACATCACTACTTTGTCTTAATGATAAATCTTAGACTTCAAAATGTAACGTTGAAGTTAAAGTGTTTATCAATTATCATAAATGATTTTAGTAATCAGATTATACACGCTAGTTGCAAACATATTTATAAGGCTTGAATTTATTTAAACTAAAAGATACAATGCTAAAGGAAGAAGCATTGCAATCACAAGCAGTGGGGTTGTGGTTGAGGCCGTGGCTCTCTAAAGGACTAGAGGGAAGCCACATGGTTCGATTAATTATCCATCCCAAGTAGTAGAGGGTAGATAATTAAGGCACAAACCAATATACCCGTCATCATATGAATTCTCTTATGAGATTATCTCTGACTGAATATGTCCATGAATCAATAATGGGGGACGCCCCAAAGTTCAAATGATTCCAGAGAATTAAAATCTCAATGGTAATGAGAGTGTGTCCGAGTCAAAAGATAGACCTTACACGATGATATATTTATACGGTTGCTCAAAGGAGTATTGAGCACGATGATATCAAACCATACTCTATTGCAATATTAAAGCAATGAGAATATTGGCCTAGATGTGTAAGTAATCCAGGTATAAATTTAATATTTGACAAAGAGACAGGTATTTGGTATGATAGTGCTAATCAACCAAGTGTAAAGTCTGTAGGACATGAAATAATTCTTTGTTAGAAAGCGTATTGAGATAATGAGGTCCTAATTATTCTCACAGTGCCCTGGATTCAAATATGAAAAGTCATACTTCTCTATTTTGAACACAAAAATGTTCAACTACTTAATCTATAAGTAGACTCCAAAG